GGCGCACTGATCAACTTAATTAATCTACTGTTTATTTATGCCAAATACAAAAATAAAACATCGGTAAAAATGAAAAAATAGAAATTGTTCGGGCGTGTTGTTTTTATTATTTTGAGCGGGCGTCGGACTTGTGTCAGTCATCAGCTGGCCGGGACTCGGAGACAGTTGACGTTCCTACCGCTGGTGTACCGCGTTGCCGCTCCATTTGCATGGTTGCCAACGGATCTGGGGCGGACATCCGCCACATAACACAACACACAACCTCACTTTCTTACAGCTGGTTTTAGACCCGACGTACGTTCACCGAAAACAGTCACTTTTAATTAAAATCATTTGTATTTTTAATTCATAGGTCTAAAAAAACAATTAGAGCATGAATTATTGAGAAATATGTTCAAAGTTTGACGTATAATAGGTTCAAATACTAAGAAATGTCCAGAACCCAAGATATTCCCGTCTGAAAATCACTCTTTTGAATCTCTCATAAGAAATACATTGCTGTCAAATTTGTTGAAATATGTTTAGGAACCCATTTTAAATTTCGCGCCCGATTTTTCCTAACCTAACTAATATGGTGAATTGATGAAATATTTTTAGGCGTTTCTTAAAAATCAGCCTGTATTTAATAAACGGAAAGGAATTTGGCAACACTGTAAGCAAGCCTTGAATGGGCATCAAAAAAGGCAACTTTTTCCTAATTTAACCGACCTTGTAGCTTTTACCGTTTCGGATATAGTAATAGTGGTATCACTTAAAATATACACCCTGTATATTGTTACAATAATGCTAAATGTTGTTGCTAGAATAGGCGTCCGCCAGGCTGTCAAGAATCGATGGCGAAAATAATAGAATCTAGCAAATTATTCTACTTTAATCTGGAAAATTAGATTATCGTGTGTATGCTAGATTTTACAGGAATAGATTTAGGGATATATAAGAAGGCCGGCATTGATTTGTAAGTTAAGTTTCAGTTCGACTGTGATACGATTTAAATAGTGATTGTAAAGAGTTTAATTGTTGGGTTAGTTATTAAAGTAATTAGTGTCAGAGTGTATTGTTAAGTGGAATAAATTATTGCTGTGTTAATTGGACTTTGATTTTTGGAATAAACGAAACGAACAACGAACCCAAGATTTCTGTCAGGCAACCCAAAGCCGTGACAATTGGTTTCAAAAGTGGAATATAAAGGACTGCAGAATGAAATCCAATTACTGGGACACTAGTGTAGTATAAAAATTAAAAACTGAACACTAAGTGAACACTGGGACAGTTAGTGCAGTGCAAACAGTGACAATCATAAAAAGAGTCTCAACCGATCGTGTGATTTACCCCGGAAGTGACTCTATACCCGATTTAGACTGTGATAGTGAATCTTCGAGTGAGTTCTAGAAAATTATATTTGGAAACTAAGGGAGATATCGAATTTGTGACTTCGCCGACGTATTCGGAACATCAATTGTCATTCAGAAGAGGTTTTTCGAGGAGTTTTGGGAAAATTCTAGAACATTCTATTTGGAAACCAAGAGAGATATCGAAATTGTGACTTCACCGACGTGTTTGCTGTATCAATCGACATCTAGAAAAGAAATTTCAAGGAAATTCCAGAACATTCTATTCGCGAATAAAGCAAGTTATCCAATTTATGACTTCACCGGCGTGTTTGGAACTTCGAGCAAAGACCAGAAAAGATATTTGAAGAAAGTTCGAGGGAAATTCTAGAACATTCTGTATATGCCTATCACAAGACAACAAGCCAAAATGGACGAACAAAAAGTTGAAGAACTCCTGCGCAAAATGTTGGAACTTCAAGAGACCAAACGAAAACAAGAAAAACAAGACGAAGAAGCTAGACGACAACAAGAAAAACAAGACGAAGAACTCAGGCGATAAAAAGAAAAACAAGAAGAAGAAGCTAGACGACAACAAGAAGAAGCTAAGAGACAACAAGAACGGCAAGAAGACCTTGCAAAACTGCAAAAGATATTCCAAACCATACAAGGAACTGTCGCAAACTTAGACCAGAAGATTGAAAAAGTAAAAACTGAAGTCAAAATCGATGTTCAAGAAGTTAAAGACGATTTAAGAGAAGTTAAACACGACGTTCAGGGAGTAAAAGCTGAGGTCAAAGCCGATGTTCAGCAATTAAGACAAGAAGTTAAGGACCAAGTTCAAGCACTCGAAGATAAGATGCGTAGATTAGAAATACAGTCCATCAATTCAGCTAGTGTTGGAGCATTCTCTAGTGTGAAGATAAAACCACCAACTTTCGACGGTTCTACGTCCTGGACCATGTATATTCGACAATTTGAAGCTGCTGCAAATACCAACGGATGGAACGATCAAGAAAAAGCTACAGCACTGATAGTGGCGCTACGAGTACCAGCCTTAGATCTTCTTCAGTCCATTCCTCCAATCTACCAACAGAATTACCAGCATCTTAGTCAAACTTTAGAACTGCGCTTCGGAGACCATTACAGACAAGAAGTATTCAGAACTCAAGTTAAATCAAGAGTTCAAAAACCCGGCGAGAGTCTACAAGAATTCGAATCGGAAGTTAAAAGGCTAGTAAGTTTGGCGTTTCCTGCAGCTGGGGAAGACATGCAGGAATGGCTGGCAGTATCTGCGTTTATTGATGGACTCAGAGATTCGAAGATCCAGGAAAACCTAAGAATGTCCAAGTTCAGACAAAGTAGCGAAGCCCTTGTATGAGCATTAGAACTGGAAGCAATCTTTGGTGCCTCACGACCCAGAATACGAGCAGTGTCCATTGAGGACCCAAAGGAAAAACAATCATCAAAACAGGATGGCAGTTTCGAGAACCTTATGAGTAGTTTCATGGAGGAAATGAAGAAAATATTACGAGAAGACAGAAAAACGGGAAACGACTCCAGACAAACACTAACATAAAGAAATCGATTAGAATGTTATCGCTGCCATAAGGTTGGACACATTCAACGATTGTAGAGTAAGAATGCCCTGTCCAACAAGAGATCGTTTCCAACGCTTGTCGAGATCAAGGGACGCCAGCCCTAATAAAAGACAGGGAAACGAGAACTAACCAGTATGCTGGTTAGTAATGACGAAGGCTTGTTTACATAAAATCATTGGGCAGTCATTATAGAGGATTAAAATTCGAAGGACAAATTAATGGAGAATTGAAAACCATTACTTTTGATACGGGTGCATAATTAGAAGAATATTAGTCAAGTCTCGGGCAATCCAACCGCTCACTAGAAACCTGTCACTACGAACAGTCACCAGCGAATTTGAACCAGTTGCAGAAGAAGCTATGGTTGAGCTCACTTTTGGATCTACCACCTTCAGGCACAGAACATTAGTCGCCGATATAGAAGATGATTTTATTTTGGGAATGGATTTGATCGGCCAACATGGTTTCTCCTTTGATCCTTCCATGAACATCCTTAAATTTGGTAATGAAGAAATTGTCCTAACAACATAAGAAGAATTCGATGCCGTTAAGATCTTGGCCACAACCCCAGTGAGGATTCCTGGAAGTACTGAGAAGATCATTTGCGGAAGATTAGAAACAAACCCTGGGTGCTGCGTTGGGCTAACACGTAATTTCATTGGAGATAAACCAGAGAGATTTCTTGTTGGAAATACTCTAGTAAGAACAAATGGAGATATTATGATAAGAATTGCCAATGTTTCTTCCGTAACAATAAGAATAAAAGGAGACATTATTGGAGCTCTCGAACCAGTGAAGCCAATATCGAACTGTGACCTACCAGATAAGCGACATTTTGTGAAATCCAAATTGGATATAGACACCTTGATGCAGACTTTGGCGAAATCATGGAAACATCTCGATCCAGATAGACTTCAAGAAGCCACAGATTTCATTTTGAAAGAAGCAGACGTATTTGTGATGGACAATCAAACCGGACGAACCAGCTTAATTGAACACAAAATTGATACTGGATTGGAACAGCGTTTTCTGTAACAACAGTAGCTCTTGCTGCATGTGTGATTTATTTTTTATACCAACGCTGCCAAAATACTAACCACCCTCAACGACCTGAACAGAGGAATTCCATGGATAATATGGCATTTCATTACAACCCCTGCATCTGTACTATGATCAGTTAATAAGAACAACACAGGAAGACAATTAAAACGCCCGGGCAGAATGTGTAATTAGACATAAAAGTCCTTTTTTTGGGCATATTCAATATAATCCAAGTTACGATTTTTCTACGCAATGGAATCTGTTGAATTAGCAGCATCGGCAGTACAAAACCAGGCCAGTCCAGCAAATGCGGACTAAGCAGAAAAATAATAAATGTAATAAATGTATATAGGGTTTTTTGTATTGATTAGTTTAATATAAATAGCTGTAATTATTTCAATAAAATTAGTATCCAACAAACCATTGTTGTACTCACTACCTACAAACTCAATTACCCCTTGCGGTATCACTTCATGTCTGAATAGAGTTATCAGCGCTCAACAGACACATATCGATTTTTTTTAAAATTAGTCATCCATGGTCATAGTCATAGAATAAGCATGCAGTTAATAAGTGCCAAGATCAAGAACCAACTTAGGAATGTATAGTGAAAGGTTGCGAACCAAGCTATGAAAACATACATACAATGGACTACCTGAATACATTTAAAAAAAAAAGCAAAACCCATCGTTTTTGAAAAATAGTCAAAGGCTCATTAAAACCTAGAAGCTTTGTTATAATATGTGGTTTTTGGTGTAGGTAGTTGAAAGGATTTTTGCTTTGTTCCAAGACATATTTATGTATTTATAATAAAACTTTATACTTTTTCAAGTAAAGTAGGATAGTGGAATTTCTTACTACCCGCATTTGTTGTAACATTTTAACTTCATCAATAAGTTACAAAAAATTTAAAAAAAAAAATAGAAACACATAAAATCTGAAAACATTAAAGAGCTGATAATTTAAGGAATTATCAAGTGTCCCAGTTTTTTTGCCTATTGATGTAACTACTTCCCCATTTTTCACTCACCTTATCCTTCATTCCAGCATGATATGGCTTTGCTTTAACTCCTAGCTTAATCAAACTACCAGCTAAATTATCACAGTCTTTTCTACCAAGACAATAAACAATTCCAGATTTTTTCGCAAATTTTGTTTGTATTAAATTTGCTATATCCTCTACTTTTCCTTTTTTATCAATCACTTCGTACTTAATGTTTGGCCTATTGAAGCTAGTTATAAATTTTTTTACATTTTTCAAATGTAAAATATTGATTACATCGTTTTCAACTTGTTTTGTTGCTGTGGCAGTAAGACAAATAATCGGCACGTCTTTGTAATTTTGCCTTAACTTGCCCAATTCTTTGTAATCAGGCCGAAAATCGTGGCCCCATTGTGACAAACAGTGTACTTCATCTATGACAAAACGTGCCAGTTTGCCACGCTGATACAAGTTTTCTAGTATATCTATAATCATTCTGGAAGCATTAATTTTTTCGGGAGTTAGATAAAGCAACTTTATAGCCGGCTCTCGCATGCTCAGCTTCTTGTAAATCTGCTCGCTTTCCGTTTTTGTTACGTCGGAACATAAATGAGCAGCGGCTATGTCGAGATTATTGAGTTTATCTACTTGATCGCTGATAAGGGCTCTCAACGGTGAAATTACAATTGTAACGCCAGGCATTAAAATTGCTGGTAATTGATAGCATAAACTTTTGCCACCACCTGTCGGCATCAATACAAAACAATCGTGTTGTGTTACACTGGCATTTATGATTTCTCTTTGGTGAGGTCTGGAAAATGGAAATTGTATAGCTAATAATGAAAGAATTTGGGTTTAATGTGATTGGAAATAAGAATAATGGAATTTTTTTAGGTTTGTGAACTATGCTTGTTAGGGATTTGAGAGTTCTCTTTGAAAGAAAACCCACCATTCTTCAAAATATTGAAAAGTCCAATAAGGAAAATGTAATTAAAAGCTAATCTGGAAAATCTTTGTTCTATTAATAGCAGAAAATATTTTTTTCTTTATAGTTGCATTACAAATTTCATAAACAAAAACAAAAACATAAAGATTCTGAGTTGGTGTAAATCTGTAGGTGCATTGAATTAATTCCCGCACTGTTAACAGTAAAAAGGCAAAGTTGAGGCGAAAAAAAAATGATCTTAGAAAATTGATCAGCTAATGTTTATGCCAAATTTTAGTTAATTCTGGCATGAGTTTTTTTTTTTTTTTGTGCCTGCGAGACTGATTTCACACTCATCAACCAGAGATCAGCACCTACAGATTCACACCATTTAGAGCGTAATAAATCCTACCTGAAATCAACCAAACCAAACTTTTGATGTAAAACTTCCAGCATGACCTCAGTATGATCATATTGGCCTCTAAACTCTTCAGAATCATCATTTCGGTCTTTGAAACCTGTAAAAACTGGTTCTTCTTTGAAAACATCTTCGTTCCAGTTTATATTTGATATTTCGTGTAACAATTCCTCAGTATTGTGATGATCTTCAGGACTTTTTGTTGTTTTTTTTCTGTTAGCCTAAAATATTATTTGTGTTAATGTTAATTCAGTCAGACCTGAATTTGCATATAAAAATCAGTATATAGGTACCATCGTCACCAAAAGTAACTGGGACAGCATCACATTAGCTCTTGTCCTATTATATGAATTTTATTGTCAAATATTTGTCAAACTATGAATATAATGCATTGAAATGAATGACAGTAGAATTAGTTCAGGAGATTATTATGCATTATTTGTGTCCCAGATACTTTTGGTGACGATGGTATACCTATTTAGCTACTTTAAATTTGAGCTGTACTCATTTAATAGCTATTTATACAACAAGTTACGAAATGAGTGTCTTTTAGGCACGCGACGTGAAAATTGTCCAACGAGGCGTAGCCGAGTTGGACAACACGTCGAGTGACTAAAAGACACTCATTTCGTTACGTGTTGTATACAAGATTTTTTCTACTGGCGTTTCATACTGAAAAAAAACATAATTTTATTCCTCGTAAATAAGAGCCGATCACGCCAAAAAAGTTTGGCACCTGCTTTTGATTGACATCTTTCATGAGGTTTTTTTGATTGAAAATTGAAATCCTATTGAAAAAAACAACAGAAATTTGAGTAACCCAAACGTTTACTTTAGTAGTTCAAATAATTGCATTTACAACATTTATGAAAAAATAGACAAAATTCAAATCTGTGTTTTTTATTTCTGAACAATGAGTGACACTTTTAGGCACTAGTGCTTAAAAGTGTCACTTTTACGCACTAGTGCTTAAAAGAATGCCATTTAAAAACTAAAATGACAATCGAAAAGTCGCTATTATGAAACGTCAGTAGAAAAAATATATTAGTGTTTTATAAACAAAAAACGGTTTAAAAAATTGGAAAATTCCGACTACATACTTCCTGAAAAAAAAAGTTTTGCCAAATCGATTTTATTTTTCCTGGAGCTCATAGGCGTATCCAGGGGGGGGGCTGCCGGGCTGCAGCCCCTCCCCAAGGCATGTCTAAATTATTTTTTTCAAGAGATTATTTTATATGTACAGTCGTGAGCACAAAAAGTGGGACACCCGACTGACAGGTCTTGTCATTTTTCGCTATTTTGGGTAAATCAGTCTTTTCTCTACAATGGATTTTTTGTCAAATATGACAATCCCTGTCATTGCCGCAGGTATAGCTAGTGAGCCCGTTTTACAATAGGAAAAAACGGGTGTCCCACTTTTTGTGCTCACGACTGTATATTATAATTACTTCCTTCCTCAGGAGAAGGTGAAGAAAAAAAACGAATAAGTTCAAGTGAACATATTAAACTCGTGGCCCGATGCAAATAATTATCTTTATGTACGACAGGGCCGCAAAGCACCTATTTGCGCCCTGATTTGAAGGCGAAATTTGATACTTTTCGCCAAAATGCCAACTTTTTTTAATAATATGCGCCTCGGGCTTCAATTTCCACGAGAAAATTACTATTGTAGCTACGCAAAAAAGAATAGACGCGTAACGTTCGGGTATGTTACAGGTAAATTCCTTACCAAAATTGGGCGTGGCTCCAAATTTTTTTTTCGCCTGCGGCGTTTTTTTTATCACCACTTTTTGTTGGCACAGCCCCCCCTAAACCAAAATCCTGGATACGCCAATGCTGGAGCTTATTTCAAGTGATATTTCAAAATGGATGAATCCATCTCATTGTCACTTTTTGCTTCTACATGCCCTCTACAATATGGCATTGTCAAATTTAAAATCCGAACTTTTGTCTTTGATCCACTCTCAGGTCGACCATTATTAGCTTCATTTTTTAAAATTTAATATGCCGGTTATATGGGCATTAATGGTATTATACAATACGAGACGGAAAATGCCATAGACATATAATAGAAGAGAGACTGAACCAATACCCGTTTTCACGTGGCTCCGGTTCAACAAACCGCAACATACCGCTCAAATACGAGTGGTAGGTATCCATCACGTCATTTTGTAACCGGGTTAGAAAACGGTATGTCATTTCTCTAACCGTTTTGTAACCCGATTAGTTAAACCGGAATCACGTGAAAAGAACTAATGAACTAAAACCAACAACTTGAATGCGCACACATTGCCATGGGAATGTTGTTCTTTTCTGTTGCTCGTTGACAAATGCCGTTTTGGAAAGTTTTGCTATATTCACCTACACAGGTTTCATCAATAGGAATACGTGTTGCACGCAATTTTCGCCATTTAACGTAATGAGTGCGACAAAAACAGCAGCAGCGGCACTAGGCTTCACATTCGTTAATATGTGTGCGCATCAGTGTTGTTCAAAGGGCACAATTGTGCCAAAAGTGGCACTTTTCACCCGCAAAATGCACGGTGGCACCACTTGAAAAATTTGGCACGATTCACATTTATTAGATAATAATATTATCCTTTTTCAAATTTTTAAGATAAGAAAGACTGGACCCAGTGTTGCCAGATGAAATAAAAAAATTTCGTGAGAATCGATAAAGAAAAATCGTGAGAAATCGTGAGACCTAAAATTGCACAATGTTCTTCTATAGATTTTTGATAGAGTAGACATGATTTTACATCCATAAGATATTGAAATTTTATTATTAAATCTTGTATCCTTGTTCTTTCTGTTTTTTAGCAGGTGTTTCTGAGAGCTGAACCTCGTTTTCATTATCCGCAGTATTGCTTATCCTAAAAAAGCGTACGTTCGCCAATTCTCGAGTCGGCAGCTGGTCTGCGAGTGACGTCACTACTATCAGCAACTGATAGTAGTAACGTCACCCGCAGACCTCGATGGATGGCTTGCGATTCAAGCTGTGCTTGTGAGTTAATTTTATTGGGAGTTTTAAATTAGGAAAAGGCGATTTCAACGTTTATGAATTCGTTTTTTTGGACTCGGATAATGCATTTTCTGCCAAGAGTTGAGGTCTGAAGCTGACGTCACAAATAGTGGGGTCTCGTGGACTTCGCAGACACTTTCAGCTCAATAAACAGTCCTATTAGCACAGGATATAGAAAAACAAACAGCAGGTTAACTCTCACGCGCATCTCTTCTGCGCACGCCGCCATTCGAGGTTACAGCCTATCTTTAAATGGCAAAACAATGAGATTTAACGCCTATCTCATCTGCGCATGCCGCCATTTTGGGATACAAAGCTCAAGTTAGCCTGCTGATTGTTTTTGTATATGCCGTGCTATTAGGTAAAGTGTTCTTGAGCGCGCATGTACCAGGAGCGGCGTAACATAACTAAATATTGTATAGTGGATTTTTATTTCGATTATTTCCGATTACATTATATTTGATTACTGATTTGTATTACTACAGAGAGAATTCGTGAGATTTGCTACCTCATTCGTGAGATCGTGAAATTCTGACCAAAATCGTGTAATCTTACGAATAATCGTGAGATCTGGCAACACTGACTGGACCTGGAGCAGGATTTTTCGTTTATTTGTATTCTATTGTATTTTTTGTTCATTTTATTTCTGTGCTAGTGACCTGAGATTCCTCAGACCTACCTGCCTGTGGGAATTGTGGTGGATCTGTCGGTCTTGGGATCTGTCGATGTGAATATTCTCCTTGGATGTGAGTAAAGTTAAGACTAGTGATAGTGACGTGACTGTCAATTGTCATTATAGTGGATTTAATATATGAAATATATTATATCTTTCTCCTTTTAGTCATTTGATAAAAGGAAATGGGTAGAAAGTCAATTTATTAAGTAAGTGGCACTATTTGGCACTATTTGAGTGCTGCTGGAGGCACATACGAAAATTCCCCAAGAACAACCCTGGTGCGCATTCTAGTTTTTGGTTATAGTTCATTGGACTGAACTGTTTACATTTTATCCCGATCAAACATTGTTTTCGCCAGAAATCAATGTTGGCGAATTTCTGCGGATTGCCCTAGATTTACCGCCTGTGTTTGAAAAATAGGGAATGTTAATTATATTGCATGCATTATTTGTGTCATCTCAATTGAAAATGTTACTACACATATAAATGTGCGTTCTTCCAAATAAAATCTGTAATTTCTACCATGACAATTATTAAGTTTCTGAATAACGTAAATTTATAATGTATCAGGGAAATAGCTGTGGCAACGCTGTTTACTCCAGTGACACGGGATTTGACACATTCATTCATTTTATGTCAAAAATTGATTATCCAGTGTTGCTGTGCTGTGTTTGGGAATATTTGCGATTATCAATCAATTTTCAGTGTTTTTTCCGTCTTTTATATTTTATTAGCAACCACAATGGTTCGCCATTGCGTGATTTGTGAAAAAAATTGCCTATTTTAAGCTTGGATTTGTATTTCGACCAATGACATCATATTACGTTTCACTATGGATTGGCCCTTGGTGGCGATTTATTGATTCCAACGCAGTGCGAGAAGGATAGAGCTAATGGGGTAGTATACTATGTATAAAAATCAGTAAAAAAACTGCTCGACATTATTCTATAGCCTAAATGGTGATGGTATAGTGGAATACCAAATTATTTTCCAGCATAGTGTCCATAGAATTAATCAGAGAAAAAAAAAATTTATTTGGATTTAGCGCCACACCTGCGACCAATAGTATTCAAGCCGCTGACTATCTGGCAACTCTGCTCAAAATGTCTCAAAATGACAGCTAACTTCAACAGTTCAATGACGTGTGGTGTCATGTGAATCGTGTGAAATGTAACATTGTCAAAGTAGCTTGTTTACATTGTTTGATGTTGTAAATTTGACGTTTCGTTCTTGACGGTCAATGTCAGTGCCAATTGTGCTTTCTCAAAACCTTGATGTGTTGCCAGATTGGAAAAACTAACTACGTCACGAACTTTTATTTTCACGTAGGGGCGGGGCTAAGAGGAAATTTAAAAAAATAAAATCCAGGCTATTGCGGTTTTTACAAAGCAACTGATTACACTAAATAGTACAATATCTCGAGTATATCACTACATAGTAGTTAAAAATCACTTGTATACTACCCCATTGTGGCAAAACACAACGGGATTTGACGTGATTGTTGTTTTTGTCAAGCAAGTTGT